CTGTGGCACATAACCATTCATTAGAGATAAATTAAGTACATCTAAAATATAAATACTAATTAAGGGAAATGCCTCGTTGAACAGCCTGGTTGGGATAGGATCTAGCAGACATGTTGATGGTTTGGATGAAGCTATTATTTTAGATAACTCAGAGAGCTCAACAGGACAAAAACTGTCCAGACAAACTGTTGACAACCAGGAGCTAACACGGGGCGAGATTCCTCCTCCCTGTAGACAGCATTGTTTGAGGTTTACGGTTATTGAACAGAAGATGCTTTCCTTTTCCGAAGCATGAAAATGAGCCAATTTGTAGTTGTCTCATCCACACCTTTGCTGGCAAGTGCTCTTTCTACAGCTTCTACAGGTACATTGTCAAATGCCCTCTGTATGTCCACGAAACAGCCAAGCCCATATCACATTTCCAACAACAACCCAGTAAGTACCATGTACACAGCCAGTAAGTACCATGTACACAGCCAGTAAGTACCATGCACATAGCCAGTGAGTACCTAGCTGTATTAAGTCTTGCTGTTGGACCTGGTTGTGAACAGGTTCAGGTTCTGTGGAGAACGGCAGATTCATAAAAGAAAGTTGGACTAAAAAGAAAAATCAACACTGAAGTTGAACTGAAGGAGAAGAACCGAAGCTGAAGAACAAGGAGCAGAAAAAGATGTTTGGTCTGTCCACAGGCAGATTCTACGAGACGAGTGAATTCACAGCCGGAGCTGATCCGCTGTGATCTCTCTCTGTTCTGACAGCTGCCACTGTCCTCTCACCGATGACCTCTGACCTTCAGATCCACGTCTGTCAGTCTGTATACTCAGGAACAGAGGCGTCACTCTGCTGGTTACACAGTTTATCCACTTCACACAGACTGACATCGGGCTCTGGTTCCTCCCCTTCCTTTGGGGAGTTTCTGGAGTGGATCTTGCCAATCTCTTCCAGAGCGCTGGCCAGAGAGTCCAGGTCAGCGGTGTCCTGGTGTCGAGCCTCCCACAGGCTCAGGATGACTGCAGAGGGACTCTGCTGCTTGGCAAAGAAGCCCAGGTTTCTGTTGAAGAGCACAACATGTTTATGAATCTGTCCCACACCATCTTTAACTGGACCTTTACACGCAGAAAACCACAAATTAAATATAAAGACTGACTCCTAAAGTTAATGAGTGGATTAAAATCAGTCCACTTGTTCATGATATTTTCCTAACAGTGTGAGTTCATTCTATAATGAATAGGAATAAAATGTGTAGTGACCTTTAATCAGGAATAAATGAACAGCCTATGTCAGTGAAACACACTTGAGCTTCTTCATACAGGCTGTGATGCTGCAGCCAGGCCACTAGGGGGCAGTGTCTGTCTTCTAGCTGCAGCTCCAGGTTCAGCTCAGACCTGCCCAACATGACCATGAGGTACCTGTGGGTCCCAGGTCCAGCTCCTTACAGGAAGTTAAAGAGTTAAGTTAAAGAGAAAGTTCATTCTTCATGTTTTGAACGATCCGAGGCAGACGTGTGTCACACAGTTAATGCGTTACACTAACATCACACCAGCTGCTCCTCCTTGGGTTCATTTCTGAAAGCTCAGTCTGTGGTTCACTGTTTACTGTTCTGTTTACTGATCTGTTTACTGGTCTGTGTGAACTGCTTTATGGGAGAGCCTTTAGTTCAGGGATGAGTAGATGGTGGCCCATGGGCCAGTAATTTCCATCTGCAGATTTTCCTGCAGGAAGCTCCTCCTGTTTTAGAAAATAAACATTAATAATTTTTTTGCGGTAAAGGAGGAGCTTACAGACAGCTGTTTACCTTAAAGATAGATTTCAGCCTTGAGTAGGTCTGACAGAGTTCCGACTTTGTTACTGATGAGCTTCTTTACAGCCGTTTAAGGTTTTCTTTGTAATAAAAAACAATAAAGTTTGGTGGTCTCATTTTATTTTCTAAGCAGGAAGTGTTAAATGTTGCTGCTGTGATGTGAGACTGACAGCAGAGTCATCAGGTAACGTTCACATGAACTGCTGTAAATGTTTGTAGATTAAAGTTGGTTTTAGAGCAGAGAGGATGTTTTCAGTGGTTTAGGCTTCAGCTTATCAGTACTGTCAGAATTCAACTATTTCACTGAGATCTATTTACAACATGAGTTATTAAGCTGAGATAGAATTTAACACTAAATGTTCCACAGAACTCGTGAGCTTCATGTCATCGCTAGCGCAAAGGCTAACAGGCTAAGCTGAGGTTCTTCCATGAAGCAGCTCTGGTGTCCTCCATCCATATTTTCAGTTACAGACTGA